AAAAAAAAAATCATATTTTACTTTGAGCTATAACTATTTTGAAGATGCATTTTCAGCCTTACATTAAGATCATCAATTTACTTAAATAAAATCATAGAGTTTGATAATAAAGGAAGCAGGCTGAGGATATTTGAACACAAAACCAATAAGCAAACTTTACACAAAATCGACTACAAGAAAATATACTTTATACTAGCACTCTGATGAGGAGGTTAAGGTTTTGTAGTATAATGTATAAGAAAAGCACTCTGATGAGGAGGTTAAGGTTTTGCAGTGTAATGTATGAGAAAAGCTGAAACCACAGCTTTTTAGTGGGTTAGAATTTCAGATCTATAAATACCTATTCTGATTATATAATAAACTTTGGGGAAATTTAGATTTTTTTCCCCCATAGTGGAAAAAAAAAAGAGCATTCAACAGATAAATTCTCTGTTGGATTAATTGTATTCAATTTCATTTTAAGTAATTTCATAAATTGTTTAAAATAGATTTATACTAAAACACTGATAGGTCAAAATCTCAAGGGGAAAAATTAGTATGATATAATTAATTGATTCAAAACAACTGTCAAGCAAAAACATTTTCCATTTATTCAAGAATAGGTGTCATGAATATAAGATATTATTCTCATATTATTCTCACCATAGGTGAATTTATACTTAGACAAGATAATCTACCATGCAAAAAATAAAAATAAAAAAGGTGAAAGTAACATTAAGGACTACATAACTCTGCACAGCCAAGTGCTGAAGAGAGTGAGGTCAGGGAGCCAGAGGAGTCAGAGGAAGCTTCTAGAAAAAAGAGCAAATTCTTTTTAGGCCAGTTCTAAATAAATGAGGCCCAAATGAATAAAAATGGAAAAAACAGAAAGGACAGCATGAGTGAGGCAGAGAGAGGATGAATCTGCACAAGGAGTGCAGAGGACAAAACCCAATGGCCGGGGAAGAAGAGCACATCCACACAGTAACCTGTGCGTAAAAGAGCCCAACCACTCGGCACGGCAACAAGCAGCAGCTCCCTGAGGTCCTCGTGGATGAATGGGAGAGCATTACTACAACAGGAAGAAAGGAAGTGCTGACCCTTGCCACAGCGCAGACCAGCCCTGAAAACAGTCAGCTCAGTAAGTCAGAGGACCTGGTCAAGCAAGATCAAACACTGTGCCAATCTTCTAGTAAGTATCCATTACATAGAAACCACAGAGACAAAAAGTAGATCGGTGGTGTTTTAACCGTTTGCCACTGTGGCTGAAGGACCTGACCAGGACAACTGTAGAAGAGGAAAAATTTATTTGGAGGCTAATGGATTCAGAGGTCTCAGTCCATAGATAGCCAGGTCCATTCCTCAGGGGTCAAGATGAGGCTGAACATCATGGTGGAAGAGTGTAGTGGAGGGAAGCAGCTCACATAATGGTCAGGAAGCAGAAGAGAGAAACTCCACTTGCCAAATACAAACGCATACCCCAAAGCCACATCCCCAAGTCCCACCTCCTCCGGCCACACCCTGCCACTTCAGTTACCACGCAGTTAATTCCTATCGGGGAATTAATTCACTGATTGGGTTAAGGCTCTCCTAACCCAAACATTTCTTCTCTGAACCTTGTTGCATTGTCTCACTGCGTGAGCTTTTGGGGGACACCACAACCAAACCTTAACAGGTGGTTTTAACACTTGGGAAGATGTTGGGTGTTGGGAGGTGATAGCTAAGGGATCTCAGGTTATGAAACTATTCTAAATTTGACTGTGGTGATGGTTATGCAACTATTAATACACTAAAAGACACTGGATGTTATATGTTAAGTGGGTGACCTGTATGGTAAGTCCATTATCTCTCAATAAGGTTGCCTTTTCAAAGTTCCCATTTTCTTCATTCTCCACTTTGGATATAAGGTAAAGACATGTTATGAGTATTTCTACGCTTTTATAATGTGTCTAAAATGAAAGAAAAGTGCAGGAAAAGCATTATTAGTTTTCTAGTAATTCAAACATTAAAACATTTATGAATTCTGAGAAAAGTATCATAGCCTTTCTGTTCAAGTTACCTTGAAATCCATTTAACAATCACAATAGATTCTGTAACCATTCACAAAGGTTCCATTAAATGGTACCCTCTGATTCAATGTGCCTTAACTTACGTGGCAATAGAGACAGCGCTAAAAAGTACTGGTTAACAGAAATAAATACCTCTCAACTTGTGTAGAGAATCATGGATAATTATTAGCTTTCATAAAGGCAGATATTTTAAAGAAACATGTATGACATCATAAGAGGAAAATGTAAGGATGAAAGTCAGATTTTAAGAAATTAGTACACTGTAGGAGGAGAGAGGAAAATGGCAGAGTAGAGGAGATGGCTTTCCAAGCTGCTCCTTGATGTGACACCAAGACAGTGGACACCCAGCTTCTCCGTGAGGTGAGTGAGAGAGCGATCGCACTAGAATTTAATACTGGACACTCAGAGCAGCTTGGGGACTCAGAAGATTAGATACAATAAAACAAAGAGGAAAGCTCACCACTGCTAGAATCCTCATGTGTGAGAGACGTCCCGTGTTTCCTGGTTGTATGCTGCGAGCTTAGGAAGGCGTCCTCTGGACCTGGTGATTCTGGGGAATCTGAGCGGAGTCCAAAAAATGGGCCTGTCAGAGGCCTGCCACATGAGTAACACTGTGCCTAGGAGACCAGAATAAAGAGGGAAAAGCTCAGATTATTAAAATTCACGATGAGAGAGGAAACCACCATACTTGAAATACAGAGGATAGTCAGAAACTATTTTGAAAATTTGTACTCCAGTAAGCTACACAATCTAAAAGAGATCAACAAATTCCTAGAGACATTTGACCCACCCAAATTGAACCAGGAGGACACAGAATGTTGAAATAGAAAAATTTCAAGTAATGAAATTGAAGATGCCATCAAAAGCCTACCAACAAAGAGAAGCCCAGGACCGAATGGATTCTCAGCCAAATTCTTCCACATATTTAAAGAAGAACTAACACCAATCCTCCTCAAATTATTCCGTGAAATAGAAAAGGAGGGAACCCTTTCCAAATTCCCTGAGAAACTAGTATCACACCTTGATACCAAAACCAGATAAAGACACATCGAAGAAGGAAAACTTCAGACCAATATCCCCGATGAAAACAGACGTAAAAATACTTAATAAAATACGGGCAAACTGCAAACATGAACATATTAAAAAGATAGTGCACTATGATCAAGTGGGGTTCATCCAGGGATGCAGGGTTGGTTCAACATACAATTATCAATAAATGTAATTCACCATATCTATAGACTTACAGGCAAGAATCACATGATTATCTGAAAAGATACAGAAAAAGCATTTGACAAAATATAGTACCATCCATTCATATTCAAGACACTAGAAAAACCAGGGATAGAAGGGACATACCTCAACATTGTAAAAGCTACATACAACAAACCCAAGACCAACATACTTCTAAATAGAGAAAAATTGAAAGTATTTCCTCTGGAACAAGAAAGAGATGCCCTCTTTCACCAATTATATTGAAACTCTTGCAAAGCAATTAGGCAAAAGAAAGAAATTAAAGGAATATGAATAGGAAAAAGAACTCAAAACATCTCTGTTTACCCACAACATGACCCCATATTTAAATAACCACAAAAACTCAACCAGAAAACTTTAATATTAATATTGTCAAAATGGCCATACTACCAAAAGTGCTAGACAGATTTAAAGCAATTCCTACTAAAATTCCAATGTTGTTTTTCATAGACATAAAAAGGCAGTCATGAAATTCATTTGGAAAAATACCACTCCTAGGTATATATCCAAGGGAGTTAAAATTACCATCCTACAGTGATGTAACCATATTAATATTTATAGCAGAGTTCAATTCACAATGGCTAAGCTATGAAGCCAACCTAGATGCCCTTCAACAGATGAAGAGATAAATAAATTACAGATACAGCAGGAAGATCAAGTCAACTATGGTCTTACTGCAACTCATTGCATTTGTCTCAAATTATGATTGAATGACTCTTCTAAAGAGTAGAAAGTCCACACATATGAACAAATTGGGACCTTTATTTTCAGACTGAAGTCATATTGGTATGAATAAAATAAAATCACCAACTAGAAATCTATAAAATCCTAGTGAAGGAAATATGTTACAAAATGCAGTATCTATACTTCAGGACCTCTGGGAAATCTGCAGTGAACTGTGGAGGTCATCCACTTCTTTGAAACTAATGTCTGAGCATCACCACTGATCTGTTCCATCACGTTCTTAAAGCATGGGGACACGAAGACATGAGATTTATTATTCAGGGCTGAGGCACAGTTCTGTGGTAGATCATGATCTACCATATGCTTAGCACATACAAGAGCTTGGGGATTCAATCCCCAGCAGGAAAAAGCAGATATTGGTTCAGCAGTATAAGCATATATTATTAACAGCAGCATATATGTACTAAAAATCTAAATCAGCCTCTTAAAACTTCATGGGAAACACAATATGTTTTTTCTCATAATGAAGCACCATTCAGGCCCAAGATTTTCAATTTTCCCCCTTATTTAATTTGAAAATCAGTTCTGTATAACATCAAATCTTTCTTTTTATGCTTAATTGGCATATATATATATATATATATATACATATATATATATATATATGGTAGAGTGTGCCATTTCAAAACCTGTATACGATGTGTAACAACCAGAACAGGGAAACTGGCAGACTCATTTCTTTTTCACAGCTGGGTCCTTTCTGTGTGCTGGGAATGAGGACTAAGCTGTATTTACTAGAAACCAGGTTATGATAGAACAAGCATTATTATATATGGAATTTTTAGCTTAACTAGATTCAGCATTTAGCCATAATCAAATACCACTTTGAATTTCCTTCAAAGATAATTCATATATTCCTCTTGGTTGATACTTACTTCTTCTCTTTCTGCTTCCATATTTTCGTATGGATACAGCTCGTCTCGGAACTCGTCGCATTCATTGATCAAGTCCATGTTCCTGTTTTCCTCCTTGCAATTGTGATTTTCAGTCTGAGCTTGAAACATGTTCACCATATGGTGAAACTGGCCTTGGATATTAGTGAGTATATCTTCCTCATTTTCAACTTGGTTGCAAAGGTCACGCAATTTCTGTTGAGGCAATGTATATTCATGTTGTGGTTGAGAAAATCTCTTTTCTATCCATTCCTGGGTTTTAGTGTACTTATTCCCTTGACTTTTTTCATCTTGATCACTGTGTTCCATTTTCTCAATCTGGCTTTGTGTTTGTATTAAATCAAAAGTCGCTTTTCTAAAAGCTTCTACTGTTTGATGGAGCTCGTTTTCTAGGCTACCGATTTTCATCTCAGACCTAGAAAGCTGTTGGGGAAGAAGCTCATAACCAACTGTTAGACTGGGTGTATCAAAATCCTCCTTGGCCTGTGAACCAAAACCCTCATTTCTTGCTCCCTGGAAAACAAGTCCCAGGTCTCTTTCTGCTCTCTCACTATCATCAGGATGGTGTGGAGCAGCGACCAGTCTGACAGGACACGAATTGACTTCTGTTTCCAGAGTTTCTGTGTTTTCTTCTTCATTCTCCAGGTTGAAATTTTGCATTGCAAGCTCAGCTTTCAGAAGATGAATCTGTTCTTTATAATGGTGTGTGGTTTTTATAAATATTTCCTCATTCTGCTTGACTGTGCCTTGAAGAGCATCATGCTTTTCCCTTAAAATTTCAATATCCTCAAGATACTTCTTTTCCTTTTCCTCTTGATATTTTAGGGTGTCAATATCCAGTCTCACCGAAGCGATCTCATCCTGTAATCTGACATATTCGTGCAACAGCTCTCTCTCTGTTTCATTGGTAGAAACCTAAATAAACCAAGAAGACCTTTTTAGTGAGCACTCAATAAAATCACGTCACAATTTCCTCTGAAAATAAAGAACAACCTGTACATTTATACAGTGAAAGGGTTGCAATAAATGGAAATGCATCTGGAGAAAACTTAGATGTAAACTTCAGAGCTCATGGAAGCATGAATTCCCCAGAAGTTCCAAAAGTTTATTGAAGACTAAAAGGAAATGGCAATTTAAAGAATCTCAAAATTGAAAAAAAAAACTTTCTCTGAATTACAACAGATTCAAGGCAGAGAGTGAGTGATGAGTAAGTCTGACTATGTAAAAAAGTAAGTGTGTAGTCTGATACCTCATCTATACAGCCACCCCACAGTAAGAACGTTAGCTCTCCATATATTTGGACAAATGATATCCCCCTAAGTTCTTTTAGTTTCCTTGTCATAAAATATTCTATACACATCCTACTTTTCTAACATTTTATAGTCAGTTATAATAATTGCATCTATTGGCAAATGATAAATCTAGGAACTGTATTAAGCATGTCTACATTTAGCAATGAGATTTTTATCACAGTCTGAAAAGGAGTGCAATATAAGCGAGCTGCAGGATGTTACCCATTGTGACTCTGCTCCTGGTGCTCCTTGACCAAACCTGATGTGTCTCTACTGCCAATGTACAGACACACACAAAAGTCTTCAGCTTCACAATGCTAATGGGAAATAAATTACAGACTTTTCTCAGAAACTTCTGAAACCGCTGCTCAGTTTGAGAATAAAGGAAGCCTAAGACATATTTGCTACTTCTTCATAAAGTTTAAAATACGACTAAATACGAAATAGGGAAATAAATTGACCTAGTTGATTAGGAACAAACACCAATCAATCATCACGAAGTACATATTATGGTATGTCATGGTTTCCAACAGCTTTTTGTACTGAACTAGGAGATTATCTGGACCCAACTGTTTCTCTTCTTGAAAGTCAGGAGATGAGATCCAAACCCGGGTATCTGCTGGCCATCCTTCTCCTCCTTACCTAACAGTGGGAGTAATGAGCAGACCCACGTCACATACCATGGGGGTGAAATCTCTGCCCCAAACTAGAGCATCATTGTGAGTATAGCAAAGGTTTTTGAGATCATGGAAAAATCGTTTCCTATGAAAAACATTGAAAACCCTTTTCTCTGGATGAGGCCATTGTGAAAATTAACACTGTATTGCTGGAGACAAACAGAGTAGAACTAAGAACATCACTTAATTAGCCTGGGCATGGTGGTGCACACCTGTAATCCCAGCAGCTCAGGAGGCTGAGGCAGGAGGATCACAAGTTTAAAGGCAGCCTCAGCAACAGCGAGATGCTAAGCAACTCAGTGAGACCCTGTCTCTAAATTAAATACAAAATAGGGCTGGGGATGTGGCTCAGTGGTCAAGTGCCCCTGAGTTCAATCCCTGGTACCCCCAACCCCCCCAAAAAAAGAACATCACTTAATTCAATGGGACAAAAATACCACCCCAGCTCCCAAAATATGTACATTATAGGTATACATATGGCTTTTAAATTCTCTATATATTACCATAAAGGATGGTTACTATGTAAACTTGGTTCACACATACACATATTTGTAAACAACAGAACAAAATAACTTAGGAATCATTTCCTTTCATGCTGTGTCTCTTTCCTTTTGTTTGCAAAGATGATTTGCCAGAATCCCATCTTGTAAATTTTGGCATTTTATTCTCAGGAAAGTTGTAATCTAAAGGTTCACATCAGTGAGGTTTGGGTCTTATACCAGCAGGGGGCAGAAAGTCTAAAACTTAAGTAAGAGCTGTACCTTCAAAAAACAAAACAAAACAAAAAAACTGTTAGAAAGAAACAGGCTGTAAAAGGGAAGCCAGAATTAGACAGGCAGTCAATAGAGATAGGTAAATCAAGTCAGGTTGGATCAAGGAGGCCAATTTGAGTGAGTCTGGAAAGTTAGAAACTGCCCCCTGAGGGACTGAAATGTCTTCAGAGCCCTTCTTCCACCCTTATCAAGATACCCTGCCACTGCTCCAACCTGTTGCTAAGGTAACCTATCCCAGGAATTGTCCCTCCCCACAGGGAGTTATAAAAGTTGTTAATTAATGTGTTCTGGGCCCTCCACCTTGCCCTTTCCCCTGTCCATCTACTTCTCACCTTTCGGCCATCCAACCTAAGCATCTCCTGGGCCTACTCAGGTACATACACAGGAAGGAGAGAGGTAAGGGGAAGAGAGCAGGAGAACAGAGATACATAAAAAAGGCAGAACACCCTCACTTCTTGGGATACCAGGATATGGCCCCATTCTCCCTCCTGGGAGAAGTCTATGTTACCCCTTTTTAATAAACCCTGCTTTATAATGCTCACCGCGGCATGCTTCTCTAATGCTATACTTTAGCATGTGAGGAAGCAGGGCTTGTCCCAGATAACCAGCGGGATCAAAACTACATGAAGCTTCGCCCCATATGAACTGCTCAAATTTTAATTGCACAAATGGGAGCTCAATTTGTCAAAACTCCTCTTCAATACAAGGAAAGATACAATTGTGAAAAGCATTTTTTTAACAGAACATCTAACTAGTTTCATGACAGTTTTAAAGCTAGTCAGTCTTATCTTATAAAAATCCCTAAATTAACATTTATGTTAGTGGTTGACCTCAAATCATGATTCATCTAGTAATCATGCTGGGCATCTATGAGATGCCAACTTTAGCAATAAATAATATCAGCCCTAAGTGTCATCGTTTAGTTTGAGGGTCAGATGACACTTGGTTTTAAAACTAAATAACAGAGCCACACAAGACATAGCAATGCTTTTGTGAGACTACAGACTGTGTGGACTACGATGTTGGCTGGTGTCGTGGGAGGCGTCATGAGTTTTTCTAAGTGCAGGCTTAGGATGCCCAGCAAAGACATGGCAAACGACGCCCTTCCCAGATCATGTCCCCATCACTGAAATCACTGAATGACACATGACCACACATTAACTAAAAGGGGAATTGCAGATGTCAATCACATAAAGTAAGACATTTGAAACTTTATTGAGGAAAAACTCACCTGATTCAACTTATTTCTTATAGTTCTCAATTCTGTATCTAACATCCTCAGAGAGACTTCAAGTTGTTTTATGACTTCGACTTGTTCATTACATTCCTCCTCTTCTTTTCTTAACTGGTCCTTAACGTTTTCATAAATCTGATCATAATTTTTGCTCTTCTCCTCTTCTTCTTGTAACATGCATCTGCAGTTAAATATGGTTATCTTAAAATTGATTTCATCAGAAAACACAAAGTTCATTTTGTACTCTGGCTTTTCCGATGTTGATTTTTTTATGCTAATAAAAATTGTGTGCGTTCAGATATTTTTCCTTTCTAGTTCTTATGCTTTTCATTTCTACTTCAATCTATTCCAAAACCTATCTATTTAAAAGAGAACAATAAGAGAACATTCTGTTAATAAGTGAGTCTCTGTTACTTGTAATGTTGCAGGGGACAGATGAGGCAAGACACCAAAGGAAGCAGGCTTATTTGGCTGCAGCCAGGTTCAGTGGGCAAAGCTTTCATTGTAATCAATCAATCCCCCTGAATCCCGAATTTATGCAGTTTCAGAGCTTTATACCCGGCTTATAAGGGGAGGGGCTCAGAAGTTCACAGTCTACAGAAGTTCACACAAAAGCAGCTTTTGTTTCACTGTTCTGAGCGAGTTAACCCTTTAAGCGTCCAAGAAGGGGAGAGCTTCTTCTCCACTTTCTTTCTTCCGCCTGCCAGCTCTTCCCCAGGAGCCCAGTTGGTAACTTAACTTCTCTTTGAAATGTAAACACCTCTGTGAAGCTCCTGCCCAAGGCCAGGGGCCTAGTTAAAAGAATCTGTTTTTTTATCACATTCTGCATTGGCAAGCACACTTCTACAAACTATTATATATGTTGTTATTATACTGGATAGTCTACAAATATTTGTGAAAAACTAGTAAAGGGGAATTCAGCACCTGGAGGGCTGATATCTTCCAGGCCAAGTAAGATAGAGTAAGAGGAAAAAAGAATTTTTTAACTACATTGAACTCTTTTCTAAAGATTCTTGTGCTGATAGTCCTAAGATCAATTATGGTGAAGATTTCTGGAGAAGCTTAAGATTTTCTGTGGATACGGGGATGCCACTATGGTAACTCTGGTAGACATAATGGAAAAGGAATTTTGAAACAGTCCAGAAAAGTGACAAGTTAAAAAAAAATCATTTTTTTACTGTTATAATTCCTCCTCAATTAAAAAAAAACAATTTAAAGTTAAATAAGTTTTGAAAACTTATTGTTTATAAACAAGTTTGAAAATTCACTAGTAATAAGCTTTTATCTTTATGAAACATATCAGGAATCCCTACAACTGTTTTATAATGTAACACAGAATCTTCAGAAGTTCTTCACACAAGATACACTGCTCCCTTACCAGGAGGGGGTCCTACCTGCCATCTCCCTTTTTATGTTTCTTTTATGGTAACACTTTCAAAGTGTCCTGCTGATTATTATGTATTCTATAAACTGCTCAAATTCCCTCAGAACAAGCCAGGACCTAAGACTTACTCCAATAAAAAAAAAAAAGTTAGCTATATGTCCTTTCAACTTAGAAATTGGAACAAATTTTATTTAGGTATGAGGGAGAATTTAAATAAAATAAACAATAATCATTCCCTATCTCACTTTTATTTCATGTACATTAACATTAAAACTGCAGCTGGGGGTATAGCTATTATTCAGCAGTAGCCTAGCATACCTACTTAGCTACGTCCACCCCTGAGTTTGATTCAAAACACCAGGAAAAAAAATTGTATAAATGTTTATAAACATGTATCTGTGCTGAAAAAAATTCCATTTCAATCTCTGGTGGAATTGTAAACTCATATAAACATTCTTGGAGTAATTTAGAAAGCTTCTCTATAAAGCTTTTTAAAAAGCTTCTCTAATTTAATCAAATTAATTCTATGTTGAAGTATTTATAGAAATATAGAAAATATAAATGTAGAAAATAATTTTTCCAAATGAAGTTAATTGAAACATCAATTGTAACATAGAAATAAAAATTAAAAACAACTCAAAATTCTATTTGTTAAATAGTGATATTTCTACAAGGTAGGCTTCTACATAGACATTAAAATTCTGATCGGAAACAATGGGCATTTAATTAAAGAAGTAATCCTGGTCATGCCAGCAGATAAGTCATCCTTTATAAGCATTCCCCTATGGACTGGTAAGAAATAATTCAAAGGTTTTTTTTCAGTCTAGGATGTCACACCTCAGGTTGTGGAGTTGTTCTTTCCATACTGTTCTCCTCTGCTCCAACTCCAGTGTCACTGTTCTTAGTTCTGATAGCTCCTTTTTTGCTCCAGAAATCTTCCTTTTCAGTCTTGCAATATTTTTAACAAGTACAGAACACTGCAGACAGTCATTTCCTTCCAATTCTATTATTTTTTGATAGGTATGAACTGCATCCTGAATTTTCAATAGGATAAAGGGGTCTGCATCAGGGAGAAAACAAAATATTTTAGAAACAAAAAAAAAATTGGCATTCTTTTCATAGGTGAAGGGGTGTTCCTTGTCACTCATTCATACACTGAACAAATGTATACAGAGTGCCGACAACCTGGGTCATGTGATAACAAATTCTGCAGGTAAAAGGGTTGTAAAGAGTCTCTTGCTACGATTTAGCTTCAAGCCTAGTGGAGAAGACAGGAAAATGAAAGAACTATTCTAAATCCCCAGAGATGATGTGAGGGAACAGAGAGTTGTGTGATCACATGAGGGAATCTGACCTACAGAAAGATTTCCATGAGGAAGATCAGGCTACACTGAGAAAGGAAGGGTGAACAGCAAGCAGTTAGGTAGTGAAGAAGGGCATTCTCCACAATGTATGGCTTGTGCTCAGACTAATAAAAACTGCGTCTTGCCAAGGTGGGAAAAAAAAAAAGCAGTGCTTTATGATCCTACTTGAAACAACACAGCAAAAACAGTCAAAATACATTCAATGGAAATTTTCGAGACAGCAGACTTTGGATATGAGGACAATGATTCCCTATACAGGACACAAATGAAGTAAGTCTTGCAAATGTGCCAGCTCCCTGCTATTAGAGAGCCTCCAGTCCATGCCTCAAGATAAGGAACCCAAGTAAGAGTCCACCAGACTCCTTGAGGTACGTGCTAGAACTGAGTCTGGTGAAACCAAGGCAGGAAGAGATCACCGGCCGCAGCATTGGCGATGAGAGAGCAGTTTGGAGAAAGGACATGGGATATGTGCTGAGGGTCCCCTGTGAATATTTAGCAGAGTAATGAACCATCCGTGAGTCCCAGGAAAGACCTGAGACTTAGAGGAAAAAACATTTCCAAACATTCAAGGAAACTGCCTGGTGTTCAAACAGTGCAAAGGAGAGGGTCTCTTCCCATCAGCCAGTCTAGAAAAACACATAATTCACATGAACAACATGGAGTCGTCAGAAGGGTCTTGCCTGGGAAATTGACCGCAGGCAGATCACCATGACAAATCAGAGATATTGATAGGTAACCTATCTGAATTCCAAAATAAAATTAAAAGAAGACGCATGAAAGATATTTTTTAAAAATAAATTGCACTTTCTGGGGGAGACCAACAGATACAAGTCAAGGAGTATGATGACTACCACAACGGACTACAACTGACCCTTGAACAACACAGGCTGGAACTGTATAGGCTGTCATCTGTGCAGAATTATTTATTCAATTTTTTTTAGATTCAAGATAATTTAGGGAAAAAAACCCAGAATAACCACATAACCTAGAAACACTGAAAAAATTAAGAAAGATATGAATGAAGGCAACATGAAAAAATATTCTACTTTTATCATTTACTACTAGTGGATATACACAAATCTAACAAAAAAACTTAAAATTTATGGCAACTTATATACACACCACTCTGCTAAATGTACATGTTGTTATATGAAGTCAAGAAAAAGGTAAACAAAAATAAAGGTGTCATAATACATAGCCACACTATTGCAGTAATTTCATAGCCAACTCCTATTGGCACGGAGGTAAATCAAGTGTCACGAGTATCTGCTTGAAAGGTCCTATAACACTTGTCATCTCCATGACAGCTGCTCATCTCTCCAGTAACTTGACCCTCACAGTAAAAAGCAAGCTCTTGAAGTTCCGTATTTCCCCCACATATAATACACTTGACATCAGAATACATGTTAATTGACTCTTTCTGTTTTCCAGAAATCTTTGTTCAACAACAGGTTATTGGTGCCTAAGGTTTTGGGGAGTCCAATGTACACACACATTTTTGACTGTCCTCCTAATGCAAATGTTTTTCAAGGAATTCTGTTAATTAAAAATGGTCTACACACTTCAATTAAAAGTCAGATTGTCAGATCCAGCTATACATTGCCTATAAAAAATAACTTTTAAATGTCATGACAAATTGGTTTTAAAAGATGGGAAAAGATACTCCACACAAACACTTGAAAGCAAGCTTAGCAGGAATGGCTGTAGGAATGAATGCCTAAGCAGACTGAATAGCACAAAACTACTACCAGCCATGAACAGGGTACTTTCCTGTTGGAAATGGCAAATGAATCACTGCTTTTGAACTCTGTGGCCCTGGACAGTGAGACGCTGCTTCAGTGCTGTAGTGGAGAGAGAAATACCCATTCTCAGGTGGACACTGCTAATGTGGTAGATTCCATGCTTCACACGGGATCTAAGGTTCAATAGCTTCAATACCAATTGCCCAGGGGTGGAAGAAATACTCATAGCCTTGAGGCACCAGCTGACCAGAGCTAGAGAAGATATCAGGCCAGCTGACATGCCCAGTTGATATGTTGGTTCCTGCCCACAACCTCGATTTGATTACCTTGAAGAAGTTTTCTCATGATACATCCCTCTGATGTTAAAACCTACATAATACACAGAGCCCTGCTTGTTGTTCAGTGAAACCCCACCAGGGCTAGCTCCCTCACCAGCCCCACTTTTACGTATTTTGTGTCTTCTGTCTTTTTTATTTCTTTTTCTCCCTATATTTTCAATCCGCTCATCGACTGCATTTCAGAGAACTGTTTTGTGCTGTATGGGTTGAGACAATTTCATAGTGATAAAATATTCTATTAATTAAGAAGGCTTGCAATCTTGAATGCTCATGATGTACCCAATACAGATATAAAATGCATGATGAAAAAAATGGATAGAACCACAAAACAGTACTAGGTAAATTCACAAGGATCATCTGACATGCTAATGCCCCTTACTCAACAAGTGATAGAAAAAGTAGGTAGACATCAGCAATATAGCAGACTTGAACACCCCACTCTTTCCAAAATGCTAAGACAGCACGATTAATCATAGTAAAAAGATGGAAGTCCAAATGATGTATGCCAGGCAAGGTATATTTTCTGATCACAAAGTCATCAAATTAGAAAATAATAACAAAAAATCTGGAAAATACTCAGATATTTTGAAACAAAGCAGCACACATCTAAGAAACCCTGGGTCAAAGAGGTAATAAAAACAGAAACTAGAAACCATTCTGAACTAAACAAAAATTTTAAAAAAAATAAGATTCCAGAATTTGTGAACTGTACTATCAGCAGCAGCACTTAAATGAACAACTTTAACACTGAATATTTAAAATAGAACAGTCTCAAATCACTAACCTTGACTTCTACCTTAAGAAAACCGAAAGATGAAAATTAGACCCAAAGCAAGCAGGAGTAAGGAAGTAAGAAACACTTGGTGTAGTCACAATGTAGGTGTCCCTGCAAAATTCATATGTTGAAATATAATTTCATGAGCAATCAAATTACCATGTAGGGACTTTTGAAGGCAATCAGATAATGCAGAAGAGCCCTGTGAAGTGAATAGTGGTCTTTCAAAAGAGACCCTCGAGAGTTCACTCACTTCCTCTGCCACCTGTGGACAAGGGAAAAGGCAGCCACAGATAACGAGGAAGCAGGCCCTCACCAGACACCACATCTGCTAGTGCCTTGATCTGGGACATCCCTCCCTCCAGAACTTAAGCAAAGAAGTCTCTATTATTTTTTAGGTAGCTAGTCCAAACAGATTACTACAACGTCAAAGATAAGCTTATCTAAACAGAAAACAGAAAAAGATGTAGGAAATCAACGAGATCAGACCCTTTTAAAGGCATATATAAAAATGATAAACCTGTCTCTTGCCTCCATGCAAAAATCTGATCTCATAGAATGGAACAGAAAAGTGGTGACCAGAGAATGGAAGGGGTTTTTAAGAATGAGGATGGAGAAAAAAAATGATTAATGGGAATGGGGTGCGGTTGGGTAGGAGGAATCACTTCTAGTGTCCCATAGCACAGTTGGTTAACAACAATTAATTGAATATTTCAAAGTAACTAGTCTCTAGAGAGGATTTTGAATGTGCCCAGAACAAAGAAATGATAAATGAAAAAGTCAATAGTCATTCTCAATTACCCTGATCTCATTATCAAATATTATATAAACATTGAAACATCACAGAGTACCCCATAAATATGTATAATTACTGTGTCATTTGAAAATAAAATGTATTTTAGAAAAGAAATTAAAACACTATTTACAGCTTTATTAAAATATCTGAAATCTGGATAAATCTGATAATGCACAGAAAGCTCCATACACTAAAACCCACAAAATATTACAGAGAAAATTAAATCACCCTAAGCAACTGGAAAGATGTGCTTTATTCAGGAGTTTAAAGAGTCATTATTAAGATGTCATTCTCCCCAATATAATTCCCAAAGGCAAGCAGCCATTTTTTAAAAAATTGGCAAGCTGATTCTAAAATGATATAGAGGACTGGAGGTATAGCTCAGTGGCAGAGTACTTGCCTGACTTCCTTCTCCAACACTAAAAAAAAAAAAAAAAAAAAAAAAAAAAAAAAAAAAAAAAAAAGTCATATGGAAACACAAAGGATTTAGAATAGACAAAGTACCCCTGAACAAAGAACAAAATAGGGGAGACAGGAGGGTTGGTCTCAAGTATATACATCTATAGTGATCAAATCAGTATGATGCTGGCATGGAGAAAGACTAAGAGATCAATGGAATACATTTCAGAGTACAGAAGTAGACCCTCACGTAAAAACCAACTTAATTTTGATAAAGGCCTGATGGCAATGCAGTGGAGAAAAGATAGCCTTTCAATATGTGGTGCTGGAACAACCAGATTTCCATGTCAACAGAATAAACTTGGATCCAAATTTCCCACCAAGCACTAAAAGGAACTCAAAATGGACCACAGATCTAAATGGAACACTTACAACTAAAAGACCTAGAATAAAACAAAGAAGGAAACCTTTGTGATCTAGCACCAGGCAGTTATTTCTTACCTACGACATAAGCAACAAAATCCATAAATGAACAAATATGTAACTGAATTTCATCAAGATTTAAAACTTACACTCTTGAAAAGACACTATAAAAGTCAAGCCAGAAACTGATGAGAATTCCTTGCAATAAAATACAACTGGTAGTGGAATGGTATCTAGGACTCTTGAAAAATTCGTCCAATAAGGAATGAACTAATTTTTAAAATGCCAAGAGAATTAAAAAGACAATTTACCAAAAAAATATATACAGATAGTAAACACATGGAAAGATGGTCAATATGACTAGTGCTCAGTATGTTGCATATTAAAGCCACACTGATGACCATTCAAAAATACTTTGTGATAAAGAATATAGGAAGGAAACAGGACTATCATGCATTAGTGATGGGCAAGGAAAATGGTAGCAATATTTTGGAAAACAACGTGGCAGTTTCTTATTAAAGGATTTCTCAACTATCTTGATAATAGTGATTAAATGTGTTTGATACATATGTGAAAACTTGGTCAAATTTCCCACTTTCCATATGTCCACAGTACTTCGCCACAGCTTTGGAGATTGCATTGCAAAAAGAAACAGCTAAATCAGTGGTTGGGACATAGAATCAGAATAAAGCTAGAGGACAGAGGCCTTTAATCTTATAGCAAGGAGAAGTGATAGCTGGGTTTTAAGGAAAGGATTAACATGGTGAGATGTGAATTTTTAGCAATGTGATTACGCTTGCAGAAAAGAGCAAGTTTCAGGGGGTGGGGTGGCAGGGAAAACAGTTTCAAGATTGCTGCAAAATTCAGGTAGAAGCATGGTAACCTGACCTCATGATGGTCAACGGTCCAAGAGAGCTGCAGAGTCAATTGAGGGGGGCGAGTTCACAAAGAAAAGTGCAGTGATCACAGGTGTCTGGTGCCACACTTCTCATCCTGTTCTAATATGAAGCACATTTCTGTATGAAGAACTCTATAACCCATCAGCTCTATGGTGCAGGGCTGAGCAGTGCGTGCACATATTACTATAATGTGCATCAGAAGGCCTTGTTTTTATACAAAGTTCCTACCTTTATGTGATATTTTAAATTCTTTAATTAGCCCCCAAATATTCTGAAAATTAAAGTATGTCTCCTCAGAATCCTGTAAGGCTGTTTCAGGTGGCTGTGTTAAGTCATCAAGGTCTTCTATAACATGTACTTGGTTTTTGATCTATAAAGCAATAATACAATATCAGAATGTACCCCAAATATATAGACCATATATTAAACTAGTAGAAGTGGCAATTAACCATCTTTTTATATAAAGCAGAAGCACAGGTAGTTTTAAAAGATTTCAGTCAAAAGAAAACCTTTATTGGTGACTATTCTTTCTTAACCATTTTTCAAAGTTAAAGTCTGTACATAACAAACAAAACTGCTCTATTTTTTCACTTTACCTCTTACCATATGTTTTTAAATTGTATTTTATTTTGTATCGCTTTGCCTTTCATAATTTACTTTTTCAATAAAACACTCTTTCGGATTATTTCTAACAATACCTTGCCCTCCTCCTCATTAGATGTTTTCTCTGTGGGCCTAAAAAATCAAAACCACATAAAATCCTTTGAGACAAACACTAAATATGTCAACACAAAATCTCAGACTATTATCTTTTTATGTAAAATATCTACATCTGTAATTTATTTCTCCTAGTCATAAACTTTATACTCATTTTTCACAAGGGAGATTCAATATAAATGGTAAGAAAAACAGTAATGAATCAAGAATAAGGCTATTAATAGGATCAAAGCAAAGAATTCAATTCAGATCATACCTTCTAACAGTCAAAGTAAGAGGAACAATTATGCTCCTTGTATTATTGAATAGAAATATGGCAGTGTTTATAATTATTTTCAAGAAATAAAACTTTTACAAGGCACTAAAACCATTTGTAAAAATATGACTTAAATCCTGTGTGGGGGGAAACCCATTTGTAATAACTATAGGGGTTCATGTTTCAGAACCTACAATATAATCTCTGCATATAATTGAAAGCCCTGTACATGCTAAACTTGTCTTAATCCTCACAGTAATTCTATGAGAGAAGCGACAGATTAGGTATTTTATTAAGGGAGAAATCACACAAAGAAAGGCCAACTAATTGCCCAAACCCACACAGCGGGTTAGTGGCAAACCCAATATTCAAACCCAGGTTTTCAGTCTCCATAGCATGTACTTCACAATATGCTGTCAAAGTGATATCTCTTCAAGTGTTATTAAGAAATATAACAGCAGATTGTCTATATTGTCATTCCTTTTCTGGATACAGTTATAATAATTTCTGAATCTTGCTAGTATTTTTTAAGTAAAAAGACTTCATACCTAAGCAATTTAGGAACCCTAGTTTTAATCAACTGAAGGTTTATTTATTCATCAACAGGAATAATCTATTCAACCATTCATTCATGCATACTTACTGGGCACACGATACATTTTCAATTATGCTGTTGAAAGAGGGAAATGAGGAAATGAGATTTTGAGACTTTAAAACTTTATAATTCAATGCAAATAATTTGAACTGTGCTGTCAGTACTTTACTTTTGTATTGTACACAAAGTCCTCCTTTTCCCCCAAATCTAATATTGATACACCTGATAGTTTAGAGTACCATACAACATCTTAGCTACTCTTGAAGATACTGTCCAAGGCACAGGACACAATTCTGCATTCTGTTGAGGATGGCCTATGAGCTTGAACATCCTCTATCACACAATTTTAAGTCTGTGAGAGTTGAAGGCTTGGGCCCTCGCTTGCATGCTCAATTACATTAGGATAGCCAGTTTATGAACCAGAGCACAGTGAACAGCAATCTCTTACCATAGAAAATAAAGTAATAAAAATTCTAAGGACAATTCATTTACTATATGTGTGAAGCTTTCTAATATCTGGATATGCAAACCAATTAATTGAATAGGTGTGTCCTCCTTTTCTAGACCATTTCCAAGAATCAACATTAAAAGCTTGTATTTTAAAAGAAAAAAAACCTCTAAGTCTCACACTCTCCTTCAGTTAGTATCCACGTCTCTATTGTCTTTCCCAGGAAATGTTCTCTAAGGAGTTGCCTACGTTTACCCACCGAGGTCAGGCTTCCATGGTGACCATTTATGGAAACTGCTCCTTGTCCAGGTCACTTGTCCTCATCTTAATCAACCTACCAGCTGCGCCCATATCATTGAGTATTCTCTTTCTTTGCCTTGAACTACACTATTCTGTCTTACTTTCTGAAAAAGTACTCACTGCTCTGACCTCTTCACAGGGAACTACAGAATTGATGGATCTTTACCTTCCTTCATCCTCAACAAGTTCACTTAAGCTTCGATCCTCCTTTGTTTGTGGAAGGATGGGAGTTGGGTCGGCCGGCCCTGTCCGAGGTGGAGCATCAGACCCTCGGGAGTCCCGTTTCTCTGTTTTAGTTTCCTTTACTACCTCCATGGGCAAGGCAGGACCAGTACTTGAAGAAATACACACAAAGGCAATGATTTTCCATAATTCTACTGACAAATAATAAAAAGAAAGTTTGCTAATCCCCAACTCTTCCCCATCTTTTCATTGATTGATTTTAAAAAGTCATGAAGCACCAGCTAAATGTATACGCCCTGCTTTGAAAAATACACCAGATACACGATTATTATACAATGTGAAATATAAGAGGTGGAATACCAAATACTGGATCTGAGCCCAAGGATGACTTTATGGAAGACATAAAGGATAAATCTTAGAAGACATTAAAAAAAAAGTGACAGAAAAACCATTCTACTTGGAGAATAGAATGTAAACAAACAAACAAACAAAAAAGGTACACAACATCCAGGTGTTTTGTAAAAGCTTCAAAGGAAAATGTCAACTTGCAGAGGCAACTGATACAGCAGGATGACCCAAGCAGTTCAATGCTGCACTAAAACCTGAGCTCACACCCACTGCCAGTGCTTCTCAGGGGAGTAGTAAGTAGATTTATGCTACATTATTGAGATTTGTTTTAAAATATAACATTAGGCCATTTAGATGAAACTTTTAAAATCCCATGAGACATATAAAAAAAACTCTTTAAAAATACATGAGAGTTATATATATATATATATATATATATATATATATTGAAATGGCAATATTCTGACTAGTTATGAATTTGTTTGAAAATGAATTTATAACATTCGAAGACTTTAATTCTAGTCTCTAATATTAAAAAGCTGGGTTACCACAGACCATTGTAATTACTTTTATTGGACTAATTATAATCATGTGACATTATCATCAAATACCTACATGAATTTACAAAGACACTGTAATTCCCTAATGGAGATTATTTTGTTAGAAGTTGAGCATGACCCCATAAAACTATCAAAAATAAACAAAACAGGCATGATGGCACATGCCTGTAATCCCAGCAATGTGGGAGATTAAGGCAGGAGGATCACGAGTCTGAGGCCAGCTTCAGCAAATTGGCAACATCTATCTCAAAATTCAAAATTTTAAAATAGGGTTGGGGATGTGACTCAGTGGTTAAGGACCCTGGATTTAATTTCCAGTATCAAAAAATAAAAACTAAAGTGAAACTAATACTTATTTGCCAAAGAAGAAATGCACATAACTCTTTATAGTTCAGATTAAGTATTCTAAGCATTTTAAAATTTTAAAAGGGAGATGTATTCCTGACAGCAATTATTAAGCAATACCTCTTATGTCAAAGTTCAAATATAAGTCTACAATTCTAGAATAAGAAATCGTTTTCCTTTTGAACAGTTGATGGAAAGCATCTTTTAAACAGCAAACTTCTAGTTGCAGTTGGCTTGATCTTATGAAAGGACTGATCTGCAGTCATGGTTATAGTAGCCACTTAAACCAGAGTTAAACCTATTTAATCAGTCAAAGTCCGCTGGCTTCAAATACCTACTAACCCCATGCCAGCCATCTACTTCCTGAAAGGCAGCCATAGATAGACTCTTCTAATGCACATGGCTTACAACGCCAACCTTATGGTGGCAGCCAATAAACAGCTGCAGGCGTTGGTTAAGCACACTGCTACACATGTCAACTTACATTCTGGAAGCTGGCTGATCCTTAAACTCCACTCTTTGCAAAACCCTATATGAGATAATCACTTTGTATGTTAGAAGGGACTGAGGCTGAACTTTGCCAGAGAAAGGCCCCAAAGAATCCAAAACATTCATATGCATGCCAGGTAAAATTGTCAGGATGGACCCCCATCAAGCTTTTTCTAAGTAAAAATTAGTCTAATGTTTCAAACAATACGCCAAAAGAGTAATAAACTCCACTCACACATGGAATAAAATATGTGTTCAGTGGTCACTTGCTGTATGATAGGCACTCGTTTCTAGGCACTGAGGACATGGTGATAAACAAGCCCAAATCCTACTGTGAGAGTGAAGTAGACTCACAACAATAAACAAGAAAGCAACAGTGGGAAAATGAAACTTCCACGCGTTGCAGGGGCAGCATGGTGGAAATGTTAGTCAGGATGGCAGGAAAGGCCTCCCTGGGGAAGTGGCATTAAGAAAAACCCGAAAGAATAGAAGGCCCAAGCCAGAAGCCATCTACAGAAAAGCTTCCATAGAGAGTGCTCCTGGAGAGCTTAAAGAATAGTGGGACGTTCAGGAGGGCTGAGGTAGAACCAAAGAGATGGGAAATACAAGTTAAAGTCAGACATTTAACTGGGGACAGATCAGGTATTACCTGGTAGATATTAGGAAAAACTTTGGCATGGACGCTGAGTGAAAGGGAGGCCACTACATGTGAGCAGAGGAATAATAGTAATTCTTGCTTCAAGCAAATCATTTAACTCTAGGATTACATATGATATGCCAATATACAAAGTTATCAGTAAGAGAGCGCCTACATTTTGGGAACAAACTTTTGCCACACACACACGTCAGAGAGAGCACTAATCTCCAGGATATATAAAGAACTCAAAAAACTTAACACCAAAAAAAACAACCCAATCAATAAATGGGCTAAGGAGCTGAACACTTAGAAGAAGATATATATTTGATCAACAAAGATATGAAAAAAAAATGTTCAACATCTCTAGGAATTAGAGAAATGCAAATCAAAACTACTCTAAAATTTCATCTCACGCCAGTCAGAATGGCAGTTATCAAGAATACAGACAACAAAAAATGTTGGCGAGGATGTGGGGGGAAAAGGCACACTCATTCATTGCTGGAGGGACTGCAGATTGGTGCAACCAATCTGGAAAGCAGTATGGAAATTCCTTAGAAAACTTGGAATGGAACCACCATTTGACCCAGCTATCCCACTCCCTGGTCTATACCCAAAGTACTTAAAATCACCATACTATAGTAACACAGCCACATCAATGTTTACAGCAGCTCAATTCACAATAGTTAAATTGTGGAAGCAATCTAGATGCCCTTCAATAGATAAATGGATAAAGAAACTGTGGTATATATACACAATGGAATATTACTCAGCATTAAAAGATAATTATGGCATTTTCAGGTAAATGGATGGAGTTGGAGAATATCATGCTAAGTGAAGTAAGCCAATCCCCAAAACCCAAAGGCTGAATGTTTTCTCTCATAAGTGGATGCTGATCCATAATGGGGTGGGGGGAGAACATGGGGAAAATGGAGAACTTTTGGGGGGCAAAAAGGAAGGAGAGGTGGAGAGAGGGAGTGCGGGCAGGAAAGATAGTGGATGAGATGGACATCATTACCTTAGGTACATGTATGATTGCACATAGGGTGCAACACTAAGTGATGTACAACCAGAGAAATGAAAAGTTGTGCTGCAATTGTGTACAATAAATCAAAATGCATTCTGCTGTTATATATACTAATTAAAATAAATCTTTAAAAACAAAGTTATCAGTAACAAGAAAACATTGAATTCTATAACAGTAAAATAGGGAACAACTCAGAACATATCTAATTTATAACTAAATTTTCATACATTCTGTATATGAAGTCACTTGAAAAATATGCTGTGATGCATGTTCAATTAAAGAAACACAAAAATATTATTTAAAAGGGATGATGATATGCATGCAGGTGCCTTTTGCAAGGAAAACTCACTACATTAGTTGTACCTTGGGTTTAGCACAGGAGTCAAGAAGTTAGTGCCTGCTGGCCAAATCTATACTTTTTTGTTGTATATCTGCATATTTTATAAGAAAACTTTTTAAAATTTTGTTTTGTTTTTGTTTCTGTGGTGTTAGGGATGAAGTCCAGGGGTGCATGCATGAGGTATGCACCCCTGTACACAAAGTTTTAGTGCAAAGTAGACACATCTATTCACCATTGTCTATAACTTGTTTCATACTACAACCTTTTGGCCCACAAAGACTAAAATATTTACTCTGGGGTGCTTTGCAGAAAATGTTTGCCAATTCTTGCTTTAGTAAATCAAAGATCATTTGATGAAAGTTAATAGATTTTACTCACATAATGAAGTATTTAATGGAACATTGACCCCCATGTGCAATCCATTAGCAATATTCAGATTAATCTGAGGGTTTGATATTTGAGCACAGGGGCATTGAAAACAAATACCCCAGATCTATCCGTGAGTAGATCTGTGGTAAAGTAGAGTGCAGTTTAGCGGGCTGTTTCCTTTGACAATTTAACAGTTGTTAAAGTAGTAGGACAAAATTTGCTTAAAAGTATCATGAAAATAAGTGCTTTAAATATATTGTACTTGTGAAAAAAAACAGTACTCTAGAGACCTAACTTCATTTTTAATTGATTACATATTGCATTATTTTATATGACAATTTAACTATTTGCCTATTGGTGAATATTTAAACTAACTTCAGCTTGATGATATGACAGTGCTCTACCTAATATCCTGACCACACATATTTATATATGTAATATGTCTCCATAAATGTACTTGACATATCTATTACATACCTCCAATGTACATGTTGCATATCTTAGATATGTTATTCATCTTTGTATGTTTGGTATAATATATAATACATATTCTTCACCTATGTGTACATGTATGCATTTAAAGTCAAATTTTCCTATCCCAGAAGGATTACATAAATATGTGAAGTTATTAGGTTTAAGGAATAATATTCTGAAATTTTAGTACATGCTCCTAACTTACCCTTCCAAAAGTACCGACAATTTCTTTTACCTCACATTTCCTTTTTCCTCACATTGGCCAATCCTGGTTACTATTTTTAAGTAAATATTTATCAATACATATGGGAAGGCCTAGGGTTGTAGCTCAGTGGTACAGCGCTTGCCTGTCTTTGTGAGGCACTGGGTTCAATTCTCAGCACCTCATATGATCAATAAATAAAATAAAGGTCCATCGACAACTAAAAAGTATATTTTTAAAAATATGGGAAAATGGTACCTCATTGCTTGTTTACATTTTTCTGATAACCCTGCATGGCTATATCCCCAGTAAAAGCATAGAATGTGTTAATCATGAGTATTGGCACAAATTAGAATGAGTTTTATAGGACAATAACAATTATCTAGTGTGAAATATTGTCATGTCTTACCCATCCTGCTCTTCATTCTCCTCAGGAGAAAACTGCTGATGATGAATGTTTTCATTTTCATAACGTAATGCATCACTGTAAATGTCTTTAACAACCTCGTATATGTGTTGTGATGCTTCCATCTCCTTTATTTCACTATTTCTTCCTTCTTGAACCTTTAATGAAAGTTTGATACTAAGGAGAACTGTTACTTTTCAAGTTTAATTGTTATAATATCAGTCTATAATAATAATTTTGTGCTTCTTTAATTTTAAAAAGTTCATTAGAAATGCTTCCTCACTTAAAAGACTTTCCTTCACCTTACCTTAAACTTCCAGTGCATTTAAGCCTTTCTCAAATAAAGATCAATAACTCTAGAGAAGGCAAACTTTAAATTATTTAGAGCCAAAATTAATATAACCCAATCAGATATGTCATGATATATGTCATGATAGTTTAAACATCTGTATGAACTATCAGCATTAAGTCCAGTTTCAATGCATTCTAAAGTCAACTAAAAACAGTACATAAAAATATTTATTCATATTTACTGATTTTCCACACTGAAAGAAATTGAGTAGAAAGGTTTTCATTTGCACCAAAACTCTGAAGATCCCATTCTGAAAGGTTCAATTCTCTGAAGAGTCACTTTGTTTTCTATGGCCACCCTATTATCTACCTTGATGTAGCCACTGAAGCCAAAGCAGAGGGAGAAATTTTCAACCTTGGCTTGGGGGACTGGCAACATAAAACTAAAACTTTTGAGCTACTGGGAATGAAAAGCCTCGAGCATAATCACAATTCGGTGGCCCCCACGGTCGTATTTGCTAGAAACTTCAACTGCTTATTTCTGAGACTCAAATTTGATGTGAACTCTACTTCATTTAGGGAGGTTATGTAAATGGAAGTACAAACAATATTCAGAAGGAGATGTGCCTCAATCCCAAGGATCAAGTTTACCTATAAGTTGCAGTGGATTCTAAAAGTATTTTTAGAGGCATTACCAGTTTAAAATATTTTTTAAGTTAAAGTTTAAATCATGATTTTTGGATTCTAAAAGACTATTCTGAAGGGCAATTTCATCTGGCCTAATATAAGTTGTTGAAGGAAGGAAAATAACATGGAAAAAAAATAATTTCAATTTACATGTTTACGTACCTGTGTGTGGCTATCTTCAGGGCCATGAAGCATGCTTTGTTTTTCCTCAACTGTCACAATTAAATATGGTTCCACTGAAAATATATATATTTCTATTTGAACTACTTAAAACTTTTAGAAAAAAACAATCATGTATTAAAATAAAAGTACATCATAACAACAATAACATTTATTTTTTCAATTAAGTGTCATTAGCTGCATGTTTAGTACTTTTTTTGAGGGACTTCATATTAAACCCAATGGCCTGTGTGTGCTTGGCAAGTTCTCAGCCACTCTACATCCCAGTTTTATTTTGAGACAACAATCTCAATAGTGTAGCCACACTGAACAGAAACCTGCCATAGCCCTCCAAAGAGCTAGGATTATAGACATGTTCCACCACATCCAGCAAATATTGACTTCTTTAGGAAATCCTTCTACTAATCCAAAACTCAAGCACAGCATTGGAGAAGCTAGATGTCACCAGGTTCCATGCATACAAGCACTGCAAAGATTCATCCATGCAAAATAAACAAAATGTCCCCAGAAACAAAACCATAGTAACCTGGATTCCATAGTAACCTGGATATTCACACTGTACATTGCTCTCAACTTTATAATAGTAACTTTAAAACAACTTCTTTTTATCATTAATGGTTTACAAAATGACTGATGCTTTTTACACCTTTGTCAGTGAACAAGCTGTTCCTTATATCTGAAATGTTTTTGTCCACAATTCTGAAAAATTTCTTTTCCACTCTAAAGTTTTAGTGTATTTTGTGAAGTTTCACTTGATTTGGGCTGTTGTTCTCCCCCCACACACAAAAAAATGTTGTTTCTTTCTTGGGACTAATTTAGTACATCATTGATTTTTCTACTATATCTTTATGACTTAAACTGTAAATTACTTCTTTACATGTGAATTCTTTTTGCTTGTGAAGAGGGGACAATCTTTTAAGTCACCTTTGTGTAACAGTCTGAATTTATTTGATGCTATATTCATTATTTGAGATCCTGGTTATTGCTAATGGGGTTAATGGTATCAGGGATGATTTTTCTGGAGGTACTCCTGAGCTGAGACTCAAAGAATGAGATTACCAGCCAAAGGGCAGGAAAGCATGAGAGCAGGAAAGGTGGTAGCAAGAGGGGTCTGTATTGCTCTAAAAATAGAAGTATTGGTTAGGAGGAATAGCAGAGCAAAGGGCAGACTGAGGAAAGGGCTAAAGATAGGTAGGCAAAGCTTGTACTGTTCAAAGTTTAAAGGTAAGTTTAAGCTGTTTAGACATCAGTGTTCCAAAGAGTGTTTCATGGCCGTATTTCCATTGGAGTTAGATCACTCCAAATGTCCTGGGCAGGATGAACACGAGGGGCATGTACCTAAATGGACAGAGATGAGAAACTGAAGGCAGCAGAACAAAATGACCACACAGGCCTGAACTGATGAACTCTTCCAGCACTTAGGATATAGAATTTTCAGTGTCCACAGAACAAAGTTGCATTAAATTAAGAAAAGTAAAACTATGGGCCTCTGGAAAAGGAGACTCTGCTCAGGACCATTTACCAAAGGCATCCAATGTGATGTGGAAGGAGGCACGTGGACTTTTAAAGTTGCTGGTTTCAGTTGTTTGACTTTTACACATCTCCCTACATCGAAGGAAATCATTTAGGTATTTTGTTTGGAATATCTTGATCCTAGGACCTAAGTGACTCATAAACTTTAAAGAGAAGACTGGCAGTGAGGGGATCTCAGTGATACAGCAAATGCTTACCCTGCAAAACAGGACTGGCTTCAATCCCCACCATGGAAAAGAAAAAAAAAATAAGAGGAAAAAGAAGAAGAAAAGAGGAAATATGGAAGTGGTACATGCAAATAACTTAGGACTGACAACTCAATAACTCTAGGAAATGTGACAATTCTCTTCAAAATACAGCACTAAATCTAAAGCTATAGGGAAAATAAAATACGTATACTAATGCATTGCTTGATTTCTTAGTCCAGTCCTGAGGTTAGGAGTGTTGGGGGCATGAATGTGAGGCGCATGTGCATCAGTGGAGATGGATGATTAGAGGGCCTCAGAGCAAAGTAAGGACTGAGGGAATGTTCTAGAAACACACAGGATATACAATGTCCAGTGCCCGTATATAGACTTAGTAAATGAATGAAAGTACTAATCTGGGTCCGTGTAATTCCAGACCCTTCTCACAACTACAAAAAATCATCAAATGAGTTGTGAAATGAAGCACAGGAGCTGGTTAATCTGCTGTTTGCCATGTAGTTCTCCTGCCCGGTGTCTGTACTGGGGGAACTCATTTAGCATGAGTGTGGAACATCTGATTCTTGGATTTACCAAGCCCAACAATGACTAAGAGAGGGCTGTGGGCAAAGCCACTGTAGGTCAAAAAGGCCTTTGGTTCCATCCCCACCACAGAAAAAAGAAAGCAAGAAAAACAAATCTTACTAAAGAATTCAATGGTAATGGGTAAATAGTTTTGGATTTACCTCTTAGTCATTACTCTAGAATATAACAGATTATCTTCAATATCTACAATATTAATTTTGAAGGAAAGAGGAAAAATAGAATATATATGATCACAGATTGCATGATTTCTTACCCTAAACCTGACCTCAAAAGTGATGAAGGGCACTGAATAAACTGGTGATAAAATATACTACAGGTTTGGTGTGATTAGTCAATACACTAGGTGTCACAGCAGAACAAAAGTTGATACCAACTTTTTATTTTTTTAATATTTATAGATGAGTTCTTCCCATGTTTCACAGGCTGGCCTCAAACTCTTTTGGGTCCACGCCAAAACTTCTACCAAGAAGCTGGGACTACTACCCAGCTCTCCAGCAAGCATTTGTAAACTTCATAAATAATTTAGAGCCTCCTAATCCACCTCTATGAATCCCTAACAGGTGAAGGCATTTCAAAGATTGGATTTTAATTAAAGAAACATCTGAGACAAAAGTTTCATTTTAAAAATCATTTTCTTATGCAAGTAAGCACTTCTTTAAGAAATGTGGAGGTCGACATTGACATTGGACTTTTTTTGTTTCAGGTTCCCCCCATCCTACTTGGACACTGAAAAAGAAAAGTAGGGATAGAAACACTGATAGCATTTCAAAGATTTCAGCCTACTTTACAGAAATTTTGTATTGCAAAATTTACCTAATTCAAGAATATCAATTTCTTGATCTGGAAGACAATCTTTCATTTCCCTATTAGGCTGGATGGATTTGGAAACAAGATGTTAATAAATATTGTGCATTTTATACAACTTGAAGTTATCAATTCAGGATAAAATAGTTCCATTACCTTCAAGAAATTATATGTCTCCTGAAACACTGAAAGAAAAAAAAAGGAACATATAATCAAGTAAACATGAATATAACAAAACCACCCATATATTTCTGTCAGTTACACAGAGCCAAATCCTCATGCTTAGCTTTGATGGTGATTCCTTTAGTTTGTTGGGGGTCGTTCAATTGCTGGTTTGCTTTTGGTTAGTAGAGCCACATGACTGAAATGTACTGAAGAAAACCAGAATATCAGTTAAATAAAACACAAAGTTACATTTCCAGAAGTAACATTATGTTTCCAACAACCATAAATAAAATGGGGAAGTGGACATATAACAATGTGTACATGCAGATTGATGGGAAAGAAAAGTAATCTCTAACCAGAGGAGAAAAACAGGACCTAAGAGGGTAAATATCTATGATGGCATGTGCCTTGCAGGTAACCTATGAGAACTATTTAACCCATTGTTACAAGTATGTATCCCATTTGTCCTCTCAGTTAATAAGCTGTGATAACAATCCAATCAAATGTATCATTCATTTCTCATCAAAGAAAGTTCTCTGAACTAATCAGCTTAGATCTATACTTTTAGAACAACAGCTTATAAAATATTCTTGTTATTCCATACCCATATGGGACATTGGTGTGTCCACATCTGTTGTATCCTCTGGTTTAAACAACTGTAAGTTTCTTGATTCAATAGTTCAATTACCCATGTGAGAAGATATAAGAGCTGACCTAAGAAATAATGTATTGTAAGCTTCAAATCCTGAAATATGGTAACCCGAGGAGTAAAAGTAAAATGAAATGTCACAGAATTATCAGATTATTAATAAACTTTTATATTTTGAAATTAATGCAATATATATACTAAAAATAACATCTTGGTGTTCAAGGAATAAACTCTACAGAAAGTCTTCTATTTCCAAAATGAGCCTGGTTTGGTATCTCTTCTTAGTCTTTCAAGCATTTTCATGGCATGTCTGTCTTATCAGAAAATTAGCTCTCTAAGGAAGAGGATGTCGCTCAGTAGCAGAATGCATTCCTAGCACGTGCAGGGCCTTGGGTTCAATCCCAGGCTCCATCACAAGGAAAAGGGGGGGAAAAAAAAAAGAAAAGTTAGCTACCTTTGAAAATATAGCGCCAATGCTTCTAAAATGATATGAATCTCATCTGAACAACTAACATCCATGTAACACACATGCCTAATGCCTGGTAGCTATAAAAAGGTGAAATGAGTCGTTCCAGTTTACCCCAACTCTAATGTTTCCCCTGCTTCCAAAAATCTCTGAACCCATAATTGTCTCATGCATAGTTTGAGTGCAAATATATTGAAACTAGCTGAAAAACATTCAGTTTCCCCACCATTTTCTCCAAAATTACTGAGCTAACTCGATTCTTTCCTTCCTCATTTCCCCTACCCTTCTGCTTTTCAAAAGCAATCTCTACATCTGTGGTCTTGATTCTTTCCATTCTATACATTCTTTCTATGTGGGATTATTCCCATTCAGTCTTTCCTCCCAATTTAGCAATATTGCCTTAGAAGTGTAATATCTGTGTCTTCAACATTTTTGGTCTTCACTTTTGTCAAGAAACATGCTCAGAATAAAAGTGGTATTTATGTTTCCCACCATCTGGTTGTGTCCTAAACCATGATCCAATAGCTCCATTCTCTTGCTACCCAAAACCCAAGTCTGAGGACCAGGAGCATTAGGATTACCTTTAAATGTAGTAGAATTATAGAACTAAAGATCTGTTGAGTCAAAACGTGCATACTGAACATGGTTCCCAACAGATGATTCATTAAAATTGGAGAGTTCTTGTTTTACTGAGACCGCTTCCAATTCCTCTACCTGAACTTGTCTTTCTGGATCTGGCACAGGCTCCTTCCTATCATGTCCCCCAAATTGAACCTCTATATGAAGTCACAATCTTTTCAGTGGACAAGGTCTATGGCTTTAATGAGCATTCCCACTCTTTCCTATTTCCCCATTCTCTGTTTCTTCATTAGGAAACAGCGACATTTTGGTGACATAAAATTTTATACATGCATGGCTGAATGTCTGTGCTTATTATATTTATTTATGGTTAAAAAAATATAGCTGCATGATCAGGACTTCAATCCTTATTGCCTTTCTAATGGAGAGGAAGACAGGCAAGAGTGGGGAAATTCTTACTCTACTTCTCAGACAATTCTGTTATTAGAAACTCACAAATTCTTCCCCCATTTCTAATACTGGTCTGACTTGAATCTCCCTCCCTCCCCTGGGCATACCTACTCTTTTTCCTTCCTTTACTCCCCACACTCTGTCTTTCTTGGACTCTCTTCCTCTACATTTCCTTATTTCCCAGTCTCCCTCTAGCTTAATCATGTCTGAAAGTAGCACTTATTCAGCTCCTCTAGCAACACTGTCCACTTTACCTGTTTCTGAAACTTGGTAAGATATACCACTTATTACCATCTCACTCGTTTTCCTTACTATCTATTTAGTAGGCACATTTCTTCAACTGTTAGAATGTACTAGTGCTCATGTTTTAAATCAACATTCTATCCGATGGATTTTTATCAACTGTATGGTTCTTACCTCTTGCATGTTCCTTTGTTCTCGGTTTTGCTTGTTGAGGTTCATCATCAAATATAGGAGAAACAAACTTCTCTGGAATAGTCTCAGAGATACACTGGTAAAATCAACATCAATAATGAGGCTCACACAAAGATATCCACATTGTTGCCTAAGAAGACATCTGAATCTCCCAATTGTGAAATCAGTGAGATTTTAAGTTTAGAGAAATACAGATTGAAAACTGAAACATTTTAGAAGAGAACCTCACATATGCTGTCCTGATTAAGCCTAACTTTGGTCTCCAGGTGGACAAAGACTCTGTGAAAACAGGATGTGGGGACAGAGAAACATGTTCCCCACAGCCCACTAGCTGACAACGTGTTTTTCCCCAAGGAACTAACTGCAGTGAGCCTCGCCCTACTTTGCATTCCCAACAAAAACAAGTGACATCTTTTAGAAAACTGATTTAAACTAATTCTGATAAACACTTGCCATTGTATAGCAGTACACATTGAAAACATTTAAATGACTATTTTAATGCTAAAACAAGAGACTTGGTGATGAGTCTGGAGTTTGTCCCGTTGACTAGAAATGGATGAGTGTTGGTGTTGCTGCACTGAGGTTAAAAAAGCTTACAAAACTCTAAATATATTTAGGTGAGAATTTCCACCAATAGAAAAACGAGTTTAATAGGATGACACAGCAGTAAGAAGAGCGATTCTGTACTTGACATGACACTACACACACATTAGGTAGAGTACGCAACACTTTCCAGTTAAGAAATAAAACAACACACTCCTAGGTACAAATGTGGAAGCACAGAGGCCCACAGTGCTCCCTGGGTTTCGGCCAGATGGATGGGGGGACCATGGGAAAACGTGCAATGGCAAGAGGGGAAGCTCCCCTCTGTGGGGGGGGGATGAATGGGGGAATCCCAGCAAGCTCAAGAAAAGCAGACCCCTCACATTCAATCCAAGAGTTTCAGCCAGGGGAAGATGGATTTGGCCTGGGATGTCAAGGGGTGCTGGTGCACTGTGGATCCTTCCCTGCGGGACTCTGTCCCAGGCCATCTTCACCCAGGGTCCTTCCTCTAGGCCCTCTTCATGGGCGCTCAGGAATGCCTGCGTTTTTGTTTTACATCTCTAAGCCCCTACCTGTGACGTGAATTCACTGGGTCAGGAAGCCCCTACAACAAGAGTCAGGCTGGATTGAGGAGAGAGAATTTGACCAATCTGCTGAAGGCACTGGGCAGCCAGAGGCATAGTCTTTCCTAGGAGATAGACGCCCAGGGCACTGTCATTGAAATGTGGTATTTGGAGCTCTGTGACAGCCAATGCCAGCGTTGGTTCTGGTAGAAAACTTGCTGGGCACAGCTCCACATGGGTGAGCAGATCTCCCTGGTCTGGCCACGCCACCATGCTCAGAGGCATTTAGAGGCATTACCCTCACTTTCACTACAGAAGCCATTCCAGGCACTCTCCTGGGGATTCTGATACAGTCTGAGGGGCTCCCCTTTTGAAAGGCTCCATTGCAGGGACTCTTAATGAGATCAAAAACCCTTGCGTGTCTTGTATCTCAAAAGTCACCATGGCTACCACTCCTCACTGGGATGGTAATAATCCACCTGATAGCCTGGGCTCAGGCTAGAGGCTGATAGAGATAGGCTGAAAGCTCTGGTCAGCAAAGGTGTGGTCTTCTGCCCATTGGTCAGTTCTGCCCATTGGCTGAGATGCACTGCCCATTTCAAATTGGTGCTTTGTGATTCTTGACAGTGAGGGACACCAGCTGTATGTGTTTTTGTTTCACAAGCCGGAAGAGGCTAGGAGTGCTGGGTCAGGGTCTGGTAGAAAGCTTGTTCCCTGCAGCTGGACAAACTGAGCACAGATCCTGTATGCAGGCCACCTTTGCCACCCTCAGAGACTGGCCAGGAAACCCCACAGGGACTTGGAATCCTGCATGCCCCTGAGCTCACTCACTGAGGGACTCCAGAAGTGGGGTGTAGTACAGATTGGCTCACCAGCTTCATATGTGAGAGTTCATGGCCAGCTCCTAACATAGCCAGACCCCCATCCCAGGGCACTCAAAACCAGTATGGAGGGTGACTTACCTCTGTAGCTGCATATGGTCCCGTAACACATCCTGGTAAGCAAGTAGTAGTGTAACACTCAGTATTGATCCCACAACAAGATCTGTCCTGTTTGCGCTAGAATTGAGATGAAACAAGCAGTTGTTACTCCTGGGAACTCCCCAAAGCTGATGAATTCAATAACTAGAAGTTGTGGTAACAAGTGTCTATACTTTAATTACATCAGCAAAGGGAAATCATAAACTTTTCTGGCTATTCTTGCACTTTTATGTGAGGTTTAGTGCAGGTTTTCTTCATTATTTATGTATTCTGTTTCATATAATCTTTTGTTTTATTGTGTTTTTTCTTTGTACTTGTTTTCTTCTCATTTTCCTTTGCATTGTTTCTTTTTTTAGTCATTTTTGTTGTTGTTTATTTTTTTCTTTCTTTCTTTTTTAATGTGGTGATGGGGATTGAACCCAAGGCCTCGTGCATGCTAGGCAAGTTCTTTTCCATTGAGCTATCTCCCCAGACCCATTTGCATCTTCTCCTGTTCATTTTTTTTGTCTTCATTTGCCTTGTGTCTTTCTTCCCATCTACCACTTTTTGCTTTCCTCTTCTGTTTTTTTTTAAATTTTCTTTGTATTTTCTCATTTTTTATTTCTGTGTGTTTATTATTAATTTTAGAATCAGGAATGCCTGATTTTCATGCATTCTACATTATCACTCACAACTTCCCCTTGGATAATGATATCTATATAGATATCACTATAAGTTTTATGTTATAAGTTAACATGTGTGTTGCTGTTCTCTCCTCTTGAAAAAAGTTCAGATGAGTGATCCTAGCACTTTAGTCACCCTGAATTAGGGCTTTGACAATGAGACATAAACCCTGCTCAGGACATATTCAAACTGGAGATCTGCTCAATACAACAACCCATATTTATGAGGGGAAGTGAAATCCATCCAAACACAATCACTAACATTAGCATATTAAACAGGAGACCTGAGAGAGAAAGACAACATGATACTGCCAAAAGTTCCTATTCCCCAATAACTGAATCCATAGATATTGAAATGGAGGATACTCTGGTCAAAGAATTCAAATAATTAATTGTGAAAATACTTAAGGCACAAAAGGAACTAAGAAATGAGTTAATTAAGGCCAGACATATTCTGAAAGAAAATTGCAATAAAATAATAGCTCCTGAAAAAATAACAAAAACAAATTTTTGAATTGATAAGTTCATTAACTAAAATAGAAGTCTAAGTGAAAAGTATCATCAATACACTACTTCAGGCAAAAGAAAAAGCATTAAGACTTGAAGGAAAGGTGGATGAAGCAGATGTTTCAGACAGTAATAAAATTGAGAATATTTAAAGAGAATACATGAGTTCTAGGGCAACTTTAAAAGATCAAATTCAAGCCTTGGGTCTTGAGGAAGGAGTGGAGATATAGGCTAATGCCACAGAAGACTTATTTAGTGAACTCATAGCAGAAATTTTCCTTAATTGTGGATCATGGAAACAAGATGGACAACAAGGCACAGGAGGCATTTTAAAGTCCAAACAGGCATGACCAAAAGAGAACCCTTCCACATCTTATTTTAGCTACATGCCAAAATTCAGAACAAAAAGATTTTTATAAATTCATGACATAAGCACCAAGTCACTTATGTTATTGTATCTGGATAACACCAAAGGCCAGCAGCAAACATACTGAAATATTTTAAGTGCTAAAAAAATTCCAAGTCAATATGACAATGCTGGCTTAGTTGTCATCAATAAACTAATGACATTGTCATTAGTTTATTGATGACAACTAAGCCAGCATTGCAGAAGATATGATAAGGAGTCCTCCACACACAAGAAGATTAATATCAATCACAAGAGCATGGGAAAGAATAAATCTCCCTAGAAGAAAAGATAAGTAAATGAGAATTGGGAGTGAATTCTGCATTTCAAATAAAGCAGAACAACAGACAGTGACACATCTCCTCATAACACTGAATGTACATTGTCTTAATTCTCCAATTAAAAGATATACATTAGAATACTGAAGTAATACATAAGACCCAACTTGTACATTATCTGCAAGAAACACATATGACTGGCAAAGCTATTCACAGAATAAAAGTGAAAGAATGGAAAATAATATTCCATGCAAATGAAAGCCAAAAGCAAGGAGTAGTAGCTATTCCCATACTTGACAAGGCAGACTTCAAGCAACAATTACCCAGAGGTGACAAAGAAGGATGCTACATATTGGTAAAGGGAAAAATCCAACAAGAAGATAAATGGCTATAAATATTTATGTCTGAATTACAGTATGCTTAATTTTGTAAAACAAACACTACTCAACAGATAGGCCCCAATACCATAAGTGGGAGTAACTTCAATATACCACTCTCGCCAGTGACTAGGTCATACAGACAAGCTATCAACAAATCTCCTAGAGTTCAGCTATACTTCAAGTCAAATGGACTAACAGATAGCTACAGAATATTTCATCTAACAAGAGCATATACATTCTGTACAGCAGCAGCAGCACATGAAACTTTTGATCATATATTAAGACACAAAAAAGTCTTAGGAGATACAAAAGTAATTAAAATAATTCTCATCAACTTATCATATGATAATGGGATGTAATTATAAACCAACAGCAAGAAAAACTACAGAAACATTATAGACACATAGAGAACAAACTATATACCTTTGCATGATGAATTGAATAAATTGGGGGACATTTAAGAAGTGTCAGATGGAAAAGATGTTCACAGAATTTTTGTATTATCATATGACAATACAAACATATCCCCAGAATCTGTGGGATACAGTAAAAGCAGTTCTTTTGGTTTTGGCAGTGTTTTCTTTTCTTTTATTGGTTCATTATGATATAATATATATGAATATAATATATATTCATATAACCTATTTTGATCCATCTTCTTCCTTGGTACATTACTTTTCTCTACCCTCTTCTCTCCCCTAATTCAGTAAAAGCAGTTCTAGAGAAAAATATATAACCATAGCTACTAAATTAAAAAATCCAAGAGATTTAAAATTAAAAAAAAAACAAATGATGCATCTCAAGGTCTTAGAAAAACAAGAACAAATCAATTCAAAAACCAATAGAAGAATAATATACCAGTCAAAAACAATGACATAGAAAGTCAAAGAACAATATTAAGAATTGATGAGACAAAGAGTTGGTTTTTGTAAAGAAAACAAGATTGATAAACAATTAGCCCAAATAACCAAAGGAAAGAGAGAAGATACAAATGAATAAAATTAGAAATAAAAATAGGAATATTACAACAGACATCACTGAAATCAAGAGACCTCCTAGGAATGATTCAGAAAACTTGCATTTCAATAAATGGGAAAATCTCAAAGGCCATTTTGAAAAAATTCTGAGACATATGAATAAAGTAATGGATGTGACATATAAACATTGAGTTAATGGGATGCAGCCCACCAAACAGACCAATAACAAGCAGCAAGACTGAAGCAGAAATCACAGGCCTCCAAAAAGGAAAAACCCAGGACCAGATGAATTCATGGCTGGATTTTTGTCAGGTATTCAAAGAACTGATACCAATGGTCTTCCCCCACGTTGTATGTAAGAGAAAAGGAAAGAACACTTCTACATCAGTTCTACAAAGCCAATATTACTCTGATTGGAAAAGTGGATAAAGACACAATGAGGAAACTTTAGACTATATGCCTGATAAACACAATCACAAAAATTCTCATTAAATACTTGCCAAACATTAAAAATAATATCCACTTATGGGCATGGTGGTGTTCCCAGCAACATTGTATGCTCTAACAGGTGAATTGCAATTTTAAGGCCAGGTTGGTCAACTTAGTGAGACTCAGTCTCAAAGTGAAAAATAAAAGGGGTTGGGGGTGTGGCTCAGTGGTATAGTGCTCTTGGGTTGAGTTTCTGTTGATACACACAAACACACACATACAAAAAATATCATACACCATGATTAAGTTGGTCTTGTTCCAGAGATGCAAGGTTGGCTCAATATGCAAATCAATACATCTAAAACAACACATATAGAATAAAGGACAATATCATATAATCATTTCAACAGTTCCAGGAAGTCTTTGACAAAGTTCAATGGCCCTTCATGACAAAACCTTAAGGAACTAGATATTGGAGGAACTTAGCATATCATACTAAAGGCCAAATAGCGCCAACCCAAAGTCAATAGTACAGAGAAGAGGAGAAAATGGAAAAAATTCTCTCTATAGACTCTGGAACAAGACAAGATGTCCATGGTCACCACTCCTATTAAACAAAATACTTGAAATTTTAGCCAAAGCGAGTAGGCAAGAGAAAAAGACAAAAGGGATACAAATAGAAGGTGAGGGGTTTTTTGCAGAAAATATCCTTTTCTTAGAAAACTCAAAGGTTCTACCAGAAGAATTTGAATTCTGATGAGCAAATTCAGCAATGTAACAGGAGATAAAATCGACATACAAAAATAAATAGTTTTTCTATACACCAATAGAAAACCTAATGAGAAGGAAATCAGGATAAGAACTTATTCAAACGGCTTTTAAAATACCAAGGAATAAATCTAAGCAAGGAGGTTAAAGACCTCTTGAAGTAAAATTACAGAATGCTGGAAAAAAGAAACTGAAGAAGACTCTAGAAAAGAGAAAGATCTCCTGTGTTCATGGGAAGGCAGACCTGACATTGTGAAAATGCCCCATTACAAAAAGTGGTCTACAGATTCCATGTAATCCCCACCAAAATACAAGGCATGTTCTTCACAGATCTGGAGAAATACCCTTAAAATTCACATGGGAGAAAAAAAAAGACCACTAATTGTCAAAGCAAGCCTGATTGATAAGAACAATCATGAAGACATCACAATTCCCAACCTTAAAACATAATACAGGAGCCATAGGAAGGAACACAGCATGGTCCTGGCATAGAGGTAGACATACAGACCAATGAATAATATAGAAGACACCAAGACAAACCCACACAGCCACTGTCACCTGATTTTTTACAAAGATGCAAAAACATGTTGGAGAAAGGACAGACTCTTTGAAAAATGGGGTCTAACTAGATAACAATACATAGAAGAATGAAACTATATTCTTATTTCTAACACTGTACAATTGTCAACTCCAAAGAGGTATAAGACTAGAACACGATGGAATCAGATTTCCCAGCCCCACACAGCAGAGGAGGTGGTGAGGGAGAAAAGCATGGCCGTCCCCACAAGGAACCAGGAAGAGAAAGAAGCAACCACAAAGTCAGAGTTCAGATGTCTGAAGTCCAGAAAGTGGGGCGTGTAGCCTAGACTGGAGAGTGAATCTGAGCAGAGAGTCTCCTGAGGTGCCAAGAGATGTGCAGAAAACCTAAAGAAGCATAAGGACACAGTGTACACCAAGAAAACAAGAAGCAGAAGTCACCAGGACAGCAAAGATATTTAACAAAGAAAATTAAGAGGAAAAAAATATAGGGCTTGGGTTGTGGCTCGGTGGTAGAGCCTTGCCTCGCACATGCAAGGCCCTGGGTTCGAAGCTCAGCACCACATAAAAATAAATAAATAAAATAGAGGTATTGTGTCCAACTACAACTAAAAAATAAATAATTAAAAAAAGGAAAAATATAATAAAGTTAGTTTAGTGATAAATTTTTACTATAATTATTGATACCAATGTAAAAGTGAATTCTATAATTAATGATATGGGTGTGCTTAAGAGAAGAAAGAATTTTTGAGCTCTGGTTTCTCTTTAGAACCCTGCAAGGGGTCTGCAAGGGGCATTGCTGGCCAGTTCCTAAGTGGTAACGATTTATGTCTGGGGCAGGTGGGCAAAGCATGTTTCCTTCATATTGCAGAATAAAGCCCTGCTTCCTGGAAAAAAAAAGAAAGAAAATATGGAGGAAACACTTCAGTACACAGGCAAAGATAATGACTTCCTGAAGAGGACTCCTACAGCTCTGGAAATAATAGCAACAATGGACAGGTGGGAGTGTAGCCAATGAAAAATTTCTGCATAGTAAATGAAACAATTACCAGTGGGAAGAGACAGCCCACCCTTCTGAAAGAGGATCAATATATAAAGAACTCAAAAACCCTAACACCAGAAACACAACTCATTATACAAGTGGACGGATGAGATGGACAGACAACTCTCAAAAGAAGCACAGATGGCCAATCCTTCTGTGCAAAAATGTTTGTCTTTAGCCTCAGGGAAATGCAAATTGAAATAACATTGAGATTCTATCATACATGAGGCAGAATAGTAATCATCAAGAAAGCAAATGATAAATGGCGGGGAGTATGCAGGGAAAGAGGAACTCTTGTAAAGTGTTGGTGGAGATGTAAATTATTATAGCCACTATGGAAATCAGTATGGAGGTTACTCAACAAAACTAAAAGGAGAACTACTTTATGGTCCACATGTACCAATCATCAGCATTTACTGGAAAAATTAAAGTCAGCATACTTTAGAGATAGATACATGCATACCCATGTTTAGTATGATAGTTTTCAAAATAGGCAAGTGATGGAATCAGCCTAGGTGCCGGTCAACGGATGAATGAATAAAGAAAATGTGGTATATATACAAGGAGTATCTTCTACACATTAAAAAGAACAAAATTATGTCAGTTTTAGGAAAAATGAAGGGAACTGAGCAGAAGCTTGTTAAGCAAAATAAGCCAAACCCAGGAGAAAAGGTATCAAATGTTTTCCATCAGATGGGGAAATTAGAGGTGGTGTGTGGTGGTGGTAGGTGTTCATCATGAAAGTAGAAGAAAGACCATTAATATAGAGAAAGGAGTTTAGAGTAGGCAGGAAGAATTGAGAAGGGTAGGGTAGGTTTTGAGGAATGAACAGCTGATCAAACTGTTATATTAACATACAAATATGCTACAGTGAAAGCCCTATGTAATTAATGTGCATCAATAAAAAGCATTGATCATGTTAATCATTGTAAGTCTATAATTCATTAGTGCTAAATCAAAATGAGATAAAAAAAATATCTAAAAGGTGCCAGACATTTATTTGCATGCTTTTTTTCTACACATTATAATCACAAAACAATTATGATGATGGTTATTCCACACCCTGCTTCCTGGTCATTCCAGGACATTAAGAGCAAAATGATAAACAGACGTGACCCTCTGTTTTCTCTGCCCAGAATGACCCTCTCCTTGCAGCTCTTGTGGCTAGCTCCTTCCCATCCTTTGTTGTGAGCTTAAATGTCACAGTCAGAAAGACTCTCACTGAATCCAGAATTCCACTCCCACTCCCATCCCCAGCCAAACTACAATCTCATTATATTTAAAAGAACTGAGGATTCAGTTTTCTTTCAAGTCTTCATTAAAATCAACTTTAAATCTTTCAGAAGAATCTAATTTCTATCATATTTAATAATACGAAGTTCCTATTCTCCTTGGCTTCACTATTTCTGTTGTTTTAAACATCTTTTATCCTGACTCTCTTGTTCAATCTGGAAATTGATCTTAACATTCTTAAATGAACATTTCCAAAGCATCTCCCTTTCTCAGCTTCATATTCATCTAGCTATTCTTTTGACTTGCTTTCTAATTATTTTCTTTCATAATAGCATACCCAAGAATTGTTTACTCTCACCAAATTCTACCTGTTAATCTTGTACATAAACCTTGACTTTTACCCTTTCTTTCCATTGTGACCTGTGACCTTGTATTTCTTTCTAGGTTGTTTATTATTATGTGCATATGAGAGATGGTATGCAAAAAAAACACAAGTAAGTGTGTTTAACTTTGAGTCAGGTGATAAAACGAAAGGATCCTAAGAGCTCTTTATTCTGATGGATCTTACCCGAGTGGTTTCTGCCATGTCTTCCTTTTGACTATTCAAAGCAATGTTGTTAAACAAGATTCTTTCTTTTTTACCAAAGCCATATTTTGCTTCTATGACAATAAAAAAAAGCAAAGAGCACATTAAAATGTCTGTAATTTCAAATCAATGTACAGCACAAGAATAGGCAGTGGTCAAATAGCTTACTTACCCTCTTTCTTGTGTTGCTGAAAAGCTTCATCTAATTCTTTTTCTTTCGGGACATTCTAGGAAGGAAAAAAAAAAAACTTTAGGTATACCAAGCATCGAATTTGATCAAATAATTATAACATTCTCCATTATTACATGATACAACAGAAAGAGCACAGTGTTCTCAGTCACTGGATGTAGACTCAAACCCCAATTCTGTCACTTACTAATCTACATCTTCTCATGGATTAAGGACTATTGGAACTGATATAGATATCATAAAAAGATAATATGGATAATAACACTACTGCCTTTACCTCCAACTGATTATTGTACAAATACTGACATCCATTAGACTATTTTCTTAATCCAAATACCCCATGATAAAAATCATAGGCATCTGTAATCTAGAATGCTGTTGAAAAAAACTAACATTTTAAGAAATTTACAATTACAACATGTGATATTTTGATTTATATTGGCACAAATTACCTCTTGAGATGGAAAAACCTGAGACCTGAGTTTGAAGAGTATCTTAGAAATAAGACGGGTTGGAATCACAATGAAAGTGGCTTCCATCTTGTGTGTTAAGTAGCTAAAGACAAGTGATGGAGATATAGGCTAAAGGCACTAAGAACATTTTCAAGAAAGATAGTAACAGAAAACTTTCCCCAAACCAGAAATGAGAGATTTCCACATACAGTAGGCATATAGGACCTCACATAGACAAGATTAGAACAGAATCTACCCAAGACATATTATAATCCAAATGCCTATCATAGAAAATAAGGAAAGAATACTAAAAGCTGTGGAAGAAAAATGTCAGGTCACATTTAAATGCAAGCCAATAAGGCTCACTTCTGAATTCTCAGCTCAGACATTAAAATCAAGGAGGGCCTAGAAGGAGATGTCTCAATCTCCAAAAGAAAACAACTGCCAGCCAAGATCAATAAGGAAATACAAACTTTCCATGACAAGGAGGAAATGAAAGAATTCATAACAGCCAGGCACAGTGGTGCACACCTGTAATCCCAGCGGCTCAGGAGGGTGCGGAAGGAGGATTGTGAGTTCAAAGTCAGCTTCAGCAATTTAGCGAGGTCCTAAACAACTCAGCAAGACCCTATCTCTAAATAAAATACCAAAAAGAACTGGGGTTGTGGCTCAGTGGTTGAGTGCCCCTGGGTTTGATCCCCAGTACCAAAAAAAAAAAAAATTATGACAATCAGGCCAGCACTACAAAGAATACTCTGAGATGTAGTGTACACAGAAGTACCTAAATATAAGACCAAAAACTCCCAAATAAATGAAGACCACTAGAAGGACATCCAAATACATGAAAATTAAACAGAATTAAATATAGCAAACAAACTGAAATGAGAGGATACTATAAACACTATATAATAACAATGAATGTAAATGGCCTCACATCCCCAGTTAAATACAAAGGTAATTAAATGTATAGGTAAGGCGAATGGACCAAAAAACAAATTCCAATTATATGCTGTTTACAGAAGACTCATCCTGTAGCCAAAGACACTCAAAGCGAAGGTCACCTTTATGTATATGTAGAAAGCACCAATCAAAAATCAATAAATAAAGGAGTGTAAAGAAGAGGAGTAGAGGAAGGAGAACAGGAAGAGGAAGGAAAAGGGAGGAGTGGAGACTGACATGGAGCAAGTCAAATTCCATGCAGGCATGCTTTTGTCAAAATGAACTCAACTACAATGCTGTAAGCCAGGCCCGGTGGTGCACACCTGTAATTACAGTGGCTCAGAAAGCCAAGGCAGGAGGATCTTGAGTTCAAAGCCAGCCTCAGCAAAAGGGAGGCAGTAAGTAACTCAGTGAAACCCTGTTTTTAATAAAATACAAATAGGGCTGGGGATGTGGCTCAAGTGCCTGTGAGTTCAATCCCCGGTACCCACCCTCAAAAAAAAAACAAAAAACTAAATAAAGTCCAATCATAGATAGCCAGAGGACCCTCAGCATTTCATGAACAGACAGCAAAAAAGCAATAAACAAAACTGGCTGAGGACCTAAAGCAGTGTAGAGGCCAGGTGCAGATGCATGCAGACCAACAGCATATTCTTAAGTCTATGGCCAGATAATGAAAGCCAAAGTGTGGGGCTGCGGTGGTGGCTCAGTGGTAAAGTGCTTGCCTAGCATGTGTGAGGGACTGGGTTCGATTCTCAGCACCACATATAAAGAAATAAAATAAAAGTCCATTGATATTTTAAAAATATTTTTAAAAAGAGAGAAAACCAAGCAAGATTCTGAAATTACAAGCTTATTGCATTGAGTAATAATACTCATTTAACAATAAACAAAGAAATTAAAATGAGATGAGCATCCATCATATTGTGCCATATAAACTGGTTTAGAAGGATGAATTGTGACCGCCCCGCAGCCTGGTGACCTAGAGAGAGGCCCGCCCTGTGCCCACATCCTGTGCTGGAGTTCCTTCTTCACCAAAGCATGGCTCCACAGCCCAACATCAGGGTACATATAGGCTTGAAGCTGCCCCCACCATGAAACTAGAATATCACCCTCTCTAATAAGGACTGGTAAGATGTCACCAAGGTCCCTGCAGGCCTGGCTGCACCAGCGGTATCTCTACTAAGGGAACTAACAGCTATCCTGTTGCTGAGGTAGCAGGGACTCTTGCATGGGGTTGCCTCTTTCTTGTTTCTCCTACTAACAGCCAACTTCTTACAATTACCCATTCACTATTTATATAATCTAATACCTCTATATTCTCACATCCTATGTCATAAGCATCTCAGCCAACACCCCAACCCTCCTCTTCCCCAATTAGAAACTGTAAACCATTATGCAAACCTATTGACTATATGATAGAAGATAACCAAACTCATCATTTCTGATTATAGCAACAAAACTGTAAATGTAAAAACAGAAGCTAACTGATCTATGGTTGCACATTGGGTACATTGAATGCTGTAATATTGATCTCCCTCTTAAAGATGAGGTATTGGTAACCTGTAGGGACACAGGTCAGAAGGGCAGAAGCTGTAATACCTCGGATCTACACTGAAAGAGAAGAAGACACATAGATACCATGAAAAAACAAGGGAGGAAAGTGCCACAAACAAACCAAGATACTACAATAAAATCCGCAGTAGACAAAATGTCAGAGAATGAGTTCAGAATATACATTACTAAAATGATCTGGGAATTAAAGAATGACATAAGTGAACAGATACAGGCAAAAGTTGATCACTCCAACAAGAGATAAGAGAACAAATACAGGTTGAAAGAGATTACTCCAAGAAAGAGATAGAGATTCTGAAAAAAAAAATCCAAACAGAAACCTTTGAAATGAAAAAACAACAACAACAATAAGCCAAATAAAAAACTCAATAGAAAGCATCACCAACAGACTAGATCACTTGGAAGTCAGGACCTCAGACAATGAAGAAAAAATATACAATCTTGAAAATAAAGTTGACCTCACATTGAAGATGAACAGAATATTCAAGAATTATGATACCATCAAAAGACCAAATTTAAGATTTATTGGGATAGGGGAAGGATCAGAGATTCAAACCAAAGGAACACAATCTCTTCAATGAAATAATATCAGAAAATTTCCTAGGCATGAAGAATGAATTGAAAAATCAAATACAAGAGGCCTATAGGACACCAAATGTACAAAATTACAACAGATCTATACCAAGACACATTATAATGAAAATGCCTGGCATACAGATTAAGGATAGAATTTTAAAGGCCGCAAGAGAGAAAAATCAGATTACCTTTAAGGGAAGATGAATTCGGATCTCAGCAGATTTTTCAGCCCAGACTCTCAAAGCCAGGAGATCTTGGAACAACATATATCAAGCTCTAAAATATAATGGATGCCAAGCAACAACCTTATATCCAGCAAAATTAAGCTTCAGTTTTGATGACAAAATAAAAACCTTCCATGATAAATGAAAGCTAAAAGAATTTATAGCAAGAAAGCCTGCACTATAGGACATTCTTGGCAAAATATTCCACAACGAGGAAATGAAAAACAACAAAAAAAATCTGCAAAAGAAAGAACTACAATAAAGGAAAAGCTAACCAAGGGAGAAATAAAGTCAAATTAAATACCAAAAATACACAAAAATGACCGGAAATACAAATCATGTCTCAATAATAACCCTGAATGTTAATGACCTAAACTCACCAATCAAAAGACATAGGCTGATAGATTAGACTTTAAAAAAAAAAAAGGCCCAACAATATTCTGCCTTCAAAAGACTCATCTCATAGGAAAAGACATACACAGACCGAGGTGAAAGGTTGGGATAAAATATACCATTCACATGGTATGCATAAACAAGCAGGGTTTTCCATCCTTATATCAATAAAGTAGACTTCAAGCCAAAGTTAATCAAAAGGATAAAGATGGACATTTCATACTACTTAAGGTAACCCATACATCAACAAAACATAACAGTTATAAATATATATGCCCCAAATAATGGAGCATCTATGTCCATCAATCAAACTCTTCTCAAGTTCAAGAGTCAAATAGACCTCAACACAATAATTCTGGGTAACTTTTAACACACCTCTTTCACCTCTGGATAGATCTTCAAAACAAAAGCTAAACAAAGAAACTATAGAACTCAATAATGCAAGCAATTACTTAGACTTAACAGGCATATATAGAGTATATTATCTATCAATGAGCAAATACACTTTCTTCTCAGCAGCATGTGGATCCTTCTCTAAAATAGACCATAAATTATGCTACAAAGCAACTCTTACTAAATACAAAAAAGTAGAGATACTACCCTGCATTCTATCAGACCACAATGGAATGTAACTAGAAATCAATGACAAAATAAAAAATGAAAGCTACCCCAACACCTGGAGACTAAATGATATACAATTGAATGAACAATGGGTTCATTTATATCAAAAGATATCAAGGAGGATATTAAATTATTCTTAGAGGTAAATGAGAACACTGATATAACATATTGAAATCTCTGGAACACTATGAAGGCAGGTCTAAGAGGAAAGTTCATAGCATGGAGTTCATTTCTTCAAAGAAGAAAAAGTCAACAAATAAATGCCCTAATATTACATCTCAAAGCCCTAGAGAAAGAAGAACAAATCAACCCCAAAAGCAGTAGAAGACAGGAAATAATTAAAATCAGAGCTGAAATCAATGAAATTGAAACAGAACAATTGAAAAATTGATAAAATAAAAAGTTGGTTCTTTGAAAAAATAAATAAACTTGATAAACCATTAGCCATGATGAAGAGTAGGAGACAGAAAACTCAAATCACTAACATCCATGATGAAAAAGGAAACATCACGATGGACACTATAGAAATACAGAAGATAATTAGAAATTATTTGGAAAATTTGTACTCCAATAAAATAGAAAATATCGAAGGCATCAGCAAATTTCTAGAGGCATGTGATATACCCAAACTAAACTAGGATGATATACACAATTTAAACAGATCAATTTCAAGCAAGGAAATAGAGGATGCCATCAGAAGCCGACCAACCATGAAAAGCCCAGGACCTGATGGATACACAGCTGAGTTCTACAAGACCTTTAAAGAAGAACTAATACCAATATTTCTCAAACTATTTCATAAGATAGAAAAAGAGGAAACACTTCCAAACACATTCTATGAGGCCAATATCACCGTGATTTAAAACCAGACAAAGACACATCAAAGAGAGAAAATTTCAGACCAATATCTCTAATGAGTATAGATGCAAAAATTCTCTACAAAATTCTGGAAAATCAAATACAAAAACATAATCAAAAAGATATTGCACCACCATCAAGTAGGGTTCATCCCAGGGGTGCAGGGTTAGTTCAACATACAGAAATCAATAAATGTAATTCATCATATTAATAGACTTAAAAACAAGAATCATATGATCATCTCAATAGATACAGAGAAAGCATTTGACAAAATACAGCACCCTTTCATGTTCAAAACACTAGAAAAACTAGAGATTCAGGAACATATCTCAACATCATAAAGGCTATCTATGCTAAGCCCCAGGCCAACATCTTTCTAAATGAAGAAAAATGGAAGGAATTCCCTCTAAAAACTGGAATAAGAAAGGAATATCCTCTTTCATCACTTCTATTTAACATAGTTCTTAAAACTCTAGCCAGAGCAATAAGACAGATGAAAGAAATTAAAGGGATACGAATAGGAAAAGAAGAACTCAAATTATCACTGTTTGCTGACGATATGATTCTATACCTAGAAGACCCAAAAAATTTCACCAGAAATCTTCTAGAACTAGTAAATGAATTCAGCAAAGTAGCAGGATATAAAATCAACACCCACAAATCAAATCAAAGGCATTTCTGTATATCAGTGGCAGATCCTCAGAAAGAGAAACTAGGAAAACTACCCCATTTTCAATAGCCTCAAAAAAAATAAAATAAAATACTTGGGAATCAACGTAATGAAAGAGGTGAAAGACCTCTACAATGAAAACTACAGAATGCTAAAGAAAGAAATTAAAGAAGAACTTAGATGGAAAGATCTACCTTGTTCTTGGATAGGCAGAATTAATATTATCAAAATGACTATATTACTAAAAGCACTATACAGATTCAATGCAACCCCAATCAAAATCCCAATGACATTCCTTATAGAAATAGAAAAAACAATCATGAAATTCATCTGGAAAAATAAGAGATCCAGAATAGCCAAAGCAATTCTTAGCAAGAAGAGTGAAGCTGGTGGCATCACTATTCCAAACCCTAAACTATAATAGAGAGCAAAAGGAACAAAAACAGCATGATATTGGCACCAAAATAGACCTGTAGACCAATGGTACAGAATAGAGGACACAGAGACAAACCCACATAATTACAGTTACTTCATATTAGACAAAGGCACCAAAAACATATATTGGAGAAAAGATAACTTCTTCAACAAATGGTGCTGGCAAAACTAAATGTAATTTAATTAAACAACTAAATTGTTTAATTTCATTGTAACAAAATGAAATTAAACCTCTATCTCTCACCATGCACAAAACTCAACTCAAAGTGTATCAAGGACCTAGGAATTAAGCCAGAGACCTTGAGCCTAATGGAAGAAAAAGTAGGCCCTAATCTCCATCATGTCAGATTAGGCCCCAACTTCCTTAATAAGACTCCTATAGCGCAAGAATTAAAATCAAGAATCAATAAATGGATTCAAACTAAAAAAGCTTCTTCTCAGAAAAAGAAACAATCAGTGAAATGAATAGAGAACCTACAAAATGGGAGCAAATCTTTCCCTCAAGCACATCAGATAGAGCACTAATCTCTAGGATATATAAAGCACTCAAAAACCTTAACACCAATAAAACAAATAACCCAATCAATTAATGGGCCAAGGAACTGAACAGACACTTCTCAGAAGAGGATATACAATCAGTCAACAAA